CAGGGGGTGGCCGCAGCCTGGCGCTGCAAACGCGCTACGTTCCTGCAAAGTCAGGAGCGGGCGGAATGCGCGCCCCGGCGCAGCTCATGCGCGTATGGCCACGGGCAGAAAAGCAGCCCGGCTAAGTAAAAGCACTGTGGAAAAAGCACCCGTGGGTGGAAAGCAGCTGCCAAATTAAACCACGTCAATTTCCTCCTCTGCCAACACGCAAAAGCTGCCAGGAAACCATGAACTTCCTGGCACCATGTCAACAACAGAGGTCCCCGGGGGTTGGTCCTGCTTTGGGCAAGGAGCTGGACTGATGACCTCCTGAGCTCTCCTCCAGCCCTAGGAGTCTGTGATTCTGTGACTCGCTGTCTGCCATGAAGCAGGGCTAGCAAGTAAAAAACTAAATGCAGAGAAAAATGTCAGGCCTCAACAACACCAGCCACCAGAACTGCATAACTAACTGCAACTCCTCACCCAAGTGAAAGGGTGCTCTGGCCACAAGCCCACACTCTTAGGATAGTCATATTCAAGTAACTGGGGAGAACAAATAAAAGATGACCAGGTAGGTAGTAGGGATGTTAGCGATCGTAATCGTTTAATTGTATAGTCTGGTAGCCGTATAAAATCTTAGCTGTTACATGACTATTAGATAGTCCCTGGTGGCAGGGCTGGTAGCCAGTGCACTCTGGCCCCACTCCTGGGGAGCCCTTTGCTATCCTGTGCTGCTGCCTCTGCATTGTTTAGAAACTAGCTTGCCTCGCAGCCCAGCTGCCTGCCGCTCTGCGCTGCTGCCTCTGATACAGAAGCAGCAGCGCACGGTGGCAGCAGTCTCTGTCCCAGGGCGTCTGAGCGGCTTCGAGCTCCCCACAGACTGAGGCTCTGTTCACGGGGAGCACAAGCCCACCACCTGCCCTCCCCCCCCGCCGCAGAGACAGCAGCACTGGAGGGTGGTAGGTAGCACTGCAGAGTTAGTGCTGGGGCAACCAGCTTTTAAATCCACTTGCCCCAGCTCTGGCTTCTGCCTGCCCCTCCCCCCTGCTCCCTGCCTCTGTAGGAGGCAGCGGGGATGGGGGGCAAGAGGAGGCAGGAGCTTATAGGTGCAGGGAGCTGTCTCGTGTGTATTGGCTCCAGCCTGCCCCCCTCACCCTCCACACTGCTACCTCCCTATTAAAGGCAGCAGCTTGGGGTGGGGAGTGGGGGGTAGGCAGACAGTATTCCCTCTAAAATTTTCCGTCGTGAGCGGAGTGAGTTTTGTCTTGTGCCATGACCACACCCTGTAATTGTGCCCAGCCTTGCATTCTGCCCCCCATATGCCACCGGTGTATAAACCAGGGCTATGCTATCTAGCCCCCAAACACAAACAGCCAGGACCTGGGTGGGCCTAGGGCCCACAGCCGAAGCATCACTGCCCAGAGATCTATGCCCAGCCTTACATCTCACCTGTTCCCCCCCCCCACACACACCAGCAG